TATGGTTAAAGCCCCGTTCTCAAAATATTGTATTGTCGCTGGCGACACAGTTTGACATTTCAAAAACCAATGAGAGCTGTACTAAATTTAAAATTGACATCTGTTGTAAAATTGATCAAAGTGCGGAAAATTTGGCTACCGGTAGACTACTGCGGTTCACTACTCCGCATCACATCTGTACAGAGTGTCCCATTTTCGTGTGTTTTATGGGGATTTCTCGTTTAATAGATAGACATACACAATGATGCGATTTTCACATTACTTTGCTATTTTTTATGAAACTAAATATGCTACACATATGTTTGTCCTAGCCTCCTTAATTCCTGAAATACAGGGCGAATTGGTGATGCGCAGTAGTGAACAGATATTGAATACAGATATGATGCGCAGTAGTGAACGCAACGTCTACCGGCAGCCAGACGGTCCACATTATTTTCAGGAAAGCATAACAAAAGATATATTAAAGAACCAGCTTTCTTAAATTTCTCTCTTGAAAACGTTGCTAGCTCTTATTGTAAGTAAAACAGCCACATCGTTATGGAAATGAAAATATAAAATTGCACCATTCACAAGCAAATCGTACATCCGATGAACGGAGGCATGAAAATGCAATAAATTTAAAAACTGCGTAATTTTCTAACCAATCGAAGTCTTTAAATTCAACCAATAAAATTAATATCGTATCGTCGGACAACATATGCATAAAAATCGAGCTTAATCCGTATTATCAAATAATGTAATAAAAATAAAAAATGTATTATCAAATATTTTAACTCCTCTCGCTTAGCTTATTTCTCTGAGATTTCTACACATTTCATAATCACAGACATGTAAATAAGAAACCTCTTAACAGGATTACCATGCACTTATAAAATTTAATTTTCCGATTAATTGTTTCTTGACAAACAATTATTGATAACAACAGATGCTATCACGTAAAGTAAAGTTTATGTAAAGAGTTCAAAATAATGGTTCGATATGATATCTCTCAAGAGCAATATCAGTAGTAGGGATCGTTCTTGTAACCTAAGTATTATCATTATCCTTGTATAAGAATATACAGGTTGTTAATTTGTTCATTACTCGCGGCAAGAGCTTATGGTTGAAATATGGCAACCTCGGCCCGCTCGTCGATAGACGACGCGACGAGGCGAGTCGGCAGAAAAATCAATAATGCATGCGTTCTCAAAAGGCAGTGTTGCCATTCTGTTCCCCTATAAGTAACTGTCGAGTTAACAACCTGTATAAAATTATCCTTGTTTATATTTTTTAAAAGTGGTTGTTTTTAATTATTGTATTAATTGTGGGGCAAATATCAAGTGTTTTTCTTCTAAAAGATTAAATGTATCTACCGAAAAAAGATTATTCAGAAAAGCTAGAACATCTGGTTTAAGGGGAGGTTTTTTTAATAAACAAAACAAAAAATATCAGCAATAAAAAATACAGAACTTGTTTCATACATTTTGAAACTCATCTGCAATCTGCAAGTTAGAAATTCGTTTCTGATTGATTTTTTTTTTGAAACATATATTTATTGTTATGTATTAACAATAAAGAATTACTTTAAAGTATTTCCATACATACGACTAAAACATTTTATAATGAAGCAAATCTTGACTTTGACAAATAGAAAAAAGTGATCAGTTTCGACAATTCCGATAACTTTTGCTGAAATTTTGTGATCACACTGTATATATGTACAAAGAAAATATATATGTGTTCTAAGAATCGTTTTATCATTTAGTAATTTCTAAAAAAATATTACTAATATTACTAAGAAGACGCACCTACTAATAATGTATTATATGTATAGGGTGTTTCAAAAAACATGTACCATCTCTCGTGGGGAGATTCCTCACGTAAAAATAAGATTTATTTTTCATATCAACATAGGTCCGATTCTGCTTTGTTTCTTAGCTACAGGGTGTTAAAGTCTTAATATTTTTTTCGATTTATTAACAGGTCTGCGACGAAAAAATTGTCTGAACTATTACCAGTGATTTTTGTATTATTTTTAGCGTTAATTACGGCAAAAATAGTAAAAAAAAATCATCACGTACAGTTTTCTTACAAATGGCATAGCCACTATAGACTAGTTTGCTTATTTTTTAAATATATTAGCCGTTTTTAATTCAAGAACGGCAGAAATATTATCAAATCATTTTTATATTTTATGTATAATTACTGCAAGAAATTAAATAAAAACAGAAAATAATTTTGCTTTTGCAATAAGCATTCTATTTTTCACTGGAGAGCTGTAATAATATGCAATATGTGGCGATATAAAAGTAATTTTCATATTACTTGGACAACAAAGTGGCTACACAAAGTTTCCTTGCTTTCTTTGCGAGTGGGATAGTCGCGATCGAAAACAACACTATATTAAAAAAGATTCGCCAATGAGAAAAACTTTGCAGGCTGAAGATAAAAATGTTGATAGAGAGAGCCTTGTAGATCCTAATAAGATGTTACTACCGCCATTGCACATTAAATTGGGATTAATGAAACAATTGAAGGCATTACCAAAAGAAGGAAATTGTTTTACATATCTTTGTGGGCAGTTTCCTGGTTTATCGGAGGCGAAACTAAAAGAAGGCGTATTTACTGGACCTGAAATCAGGAAACTGATGAGGGATGCTAACTTTGAGCAACAAATGAATGCCAGAGAAAAAGCAGCATGGGTATCCTTCAAACAAGTCGTCATAATTTTTTTGGAAACCAAAAAGACCTCAACTACCAAGCGATCATTGATACAATGCTGGACAATTTTCAGAAATTAAACTGCAACATGAGCATTAAAATCCATTTTCTCCACTTCTATCTGGACTACTTTCCTTCAAATCTTGGTGATGTCAGTGAAGAACAGGGAGAGAAATTTTATCAAGACATCAAAGAAATGGAAAGAAGGTATCAAGCAAGATGGAATGTCAATATGATAGCAGATTACTGCTGGATGTTAAAAAGAGACGATCCTGAACGTACCCACAGCAAGAAAAGCACTAAAGGAAGTATTGATGTCAAGCGAAAGCGGTTTTATAAAGAATTTTGAATTAAATGATTTTTTTTAGTATTTCGTTATATGAATGCAAAAAAATATAGTACTCCTTAATGTTAAATAAAAACTAAAACCCTAAGAATTATTTTAAAAACTTTGTTTAATTAATTTTTCCCAAAGTAGGTCCTTTTTTGTGAGATAACCAGACGTGATAGAAAAAATGAATTTTATTTTTGAAACCAGCGCTCAAAGGTAGTTAAAAATCAGCCATTAAAATAAAAACAATTTTCAAAAACTTTTATTTCGCAGACCTGTATAATTAAGTACTTTTAGTGATTCGAATGAAATTTTGAGGGTAAAAGTTACTATAAGTGCTACATATTTTGATGCTAAAAATGTGTCGATAAATTAATTAGGGACGTGCATTTGGGTTATCACTGGAATATTTTTCAAAAATACTGTACTGATCGAAAAAAAAACAGCGTCCAGTTGACTTGGAAATAAAACAAATGGTGGCATTCCTCCATACAATTTTACATACAAAAAACTGTAAGCCATCTCTGACGCCGATTTTTTTCGATTGTATAGTAATATCGGTGGTAATACAGTATGATCGAAAAAAAAATTAATGATGACAATCCCCATATACAAAATAACAGCAATCTATATTTCTAAGCCATCTCTGACGAAGATTTTCTTCGATTGTATAGTAATGTCAGTGGTAATACAACGTCTAAATTTGGACGGTAGTAATACAGTATGGTCGAAAAAAAGCGCCCAGATGGCTTGGAAATGACGATCGATGACATTCGCCATATAATTTAAATTTCGGCGATTTAAATATAAAATGACAGCTTCATTGCATAGCCATCTGAAACTGTTTTTTTTTCGATCATATTGTACCCTATGATCGTAAAAAACGGCGTCCAGTTGGCTTGAAAATGACAATGGATGATATTGTCCATATAATTTTACATATAAAATGATAGCGATCTTCATTTCATAGCCATGGCTGGATGTCGTTTTTTTTTCGATCATATTGTACAATATGCATATTAATAAAACAAAAGTATTGTTGCAATAAAAGTGAATTTTCAATCAAAATAAATTAATATATGATTCGTTTGTTTGTAGTATATGGAGGAAGATAATACCGTCCTATTATCGAAAAAAAACGGCGTCACCCTTATGAAATGAAGACCGCTGTCCTTTTTTTATTTGTAAAATTATATGGAAAATGTTATCAATCGTCATTTCATAGCCATCTCCGACGCCGGTTTTTTTCGATCATACAGTATATTATGTATTACTTCAGAGTCTATTCCAAAAATTATATGAGTAAGTAGGCCGATAGGGTAGAGCATAAATTAAAAATAGAATAACTAAGGACACGTAATGTTTTCATTGAGATTTTGCCACATATGCCGAAAAATAGCGTCACATTTTTTTTCGATATATTTTTCCGTTCTTATTTTCCGAAATTAAGTATTAATACAACTTCAAAAAAATAATACCTACATAATTAATTTTTGTAATAAGTTTGTGTCAAATCTCGCTACTAGTAGGTACAGAGTTTATTGTTTCCTAGTTTATTGGCTAGTTCAACATTTTCTATTTTAAAAAAGATGACCAGTGATAATAATTCTGATTTTTTGAATTATCTAATTAAAGGAAAATTATATGATACAACCTAAACTTAATTTAGATATAGATAATTGTTATTATCAAATAATGTATCTATTAGGTATATTAAATATTAATACGCCTATAATAATAAAATTTAATTAATAATCTTAAACTTGTTAAGTAGGCGCCATAATAAAGAAAATTTTAAAAATTATATAAATCAATTAGGTAGGTAATATAGCCTTTACTATAACTAGAAAAAATGAAATGTTTATAGACTAAAAAACAAGTAGGTATTATTAAATAAATAATCCTGTATTGCAGGTGAGTTAGTACAAAAAAATTAATTTAAAGCAATTATTAATGGAAAAAACCTTACCTTATATGCTTAAATCCAATGTCGTGAGCTGTAACATTCTTCCAAGCTCCATGAAGGTAATCTTTGCAAATCCTTGCAGCCAGATCTCTCATCTCAAAAGTATCCCCGTGCATCTGTTTAAAAGTCGAAAATAAATTACACCACTTTAAACTTGATACCTTGCGCATTTCTTTGAGTTATTTTTTAGCAAAGCAGTCGAAAAATATATTTGTTTAATCGAATTCAAACTTTTCTTACTGAAAGTTTACAATATTGCAAATCCGATGACTGGCTGATCTTATAATAAATCAATAACTGTACGCAGACGTCTTTCATCGTTGGAATTAACAAATACCGCATAGGGTTAACTTAATGTTGTTATTATAATGTGCAAAAATAAACTACCTACCTTTTTGTTAAGTATATTTAACATGTTTAATACAGGAACTTCTTAAAATCTCTTTAAATGTCGGAGAAATTACTCCAAAACCTGTGATGAACTATTTTTTTTAGAAACGTCTCCTACAAGCTGTGGAAAGCGTATGCAAAATACTGCCGGCAATCCGCTCTTTTATAAATTTGCGGAAAGTGCTATATAATGAGATCGGTGATAATAGAAATATACTAATAAAACTCTGATAAGTGCAACCGTAAACACGACCGATACAAAATAAGGTTAAAACTCGAATGAAAAATGATGTTCGCTGGGTATCGCCACCGGTATCGCAGACAGCCAGGGTAGCCAGTGGGTCGGTATAGTTGTTACAGCGGGACACACTTGCCTGACCGAATGAAGATTAGTTATCAATCTTAATCCTAATTAACCCTTAAGTAGGTGTACTCGGGTAGGTTTTACAAACATAAGTACTTGCCTGGCGCCTGAAAGGCACCGAAATATACGAAAATAAATTAAATAGGGATATTTAGGCATTTAAAAGAATATACAGAGTGTCAAAAAGCCCAGAGCGGACCTAGAACTTATGTTTTTTAAAAAATAAATGAATGAATAATTTTAAAAAACACATTTTTTGAATAATGAATTTCTCTATCAATAAATTTCATAGACTTGGTTATCAAACCGTGTCCTTATATTAAATATCTACAAATTTTCTAAAAAAATAAAAATTAACACATTCTTTGAACACAACAAAATAATATTAACTAAACAAAACTAGAAAACGTCATTTTTACTACTTCATAAGCAAATAAAAATTAATATTTAGCCAAGAGTTGTACTTTAAGATTTCTCTGGGGGGTGCCCAGCAGTACCTGGGGGGGGGGGGGCGGATCCCCCGGGCCCCCTTGTAGTTACGCCTATGCCCAAGAATACACAAGGGTCCATTGGAATATGTATAAAACAATAAAATATATTTATTATTTTTTAAAATATATATATATTTTATTATAGTATAAAATTGACTTGGTTCCTTTTGGTTCCTAGCCCTACTTCTCCTACTTGGTGCCTGTGAGGCGCCACGCGTACAAGGGTACTTAATATACTTCTGTTGACTATCAGGCAACACAGGGCGTCGAATAAGCCTCGAGAAAAATCCTTAATAGCCGGTTATCGCAAGCGGTTCTCAAAATGATGCCATTTAAAAAAAATTCGAAGTTAAATAACTCTGTTATTTTCAATTTATTTTAAAAATGGTAAAGAGAAAAGATGTTTTTTTGACCAGATCTACCATCCGTTTAAATATCTGCACATATTTCTGGGACACCATGTATAGAGAGAAACAATTCGTGGGTACTGCCGTGCAAGTCCGTCAAATATCCCTGATTGCACTACGCAATCCCCTTCTTTCTAGTACTGCTATTAAAAATGTGTTAACTCACCTTGAAGGAGTAAATGTTTCAAGAAAGACCATAGCAAGAATACTCCATGACAGAGGATTACATTTAAGGAGGCCTCTACGTGTTCCAAAGCTTAATTTACAGCACAAAATTACGCGATTACAATGGGTTGAGGAGATGGGAGCAAATGGACCTAATTGGAATTTCGTCATGTTTAGTGATGAAACGAGTATAGGCCTAGTGTCAGACTCGCGACGAACTTTGGTCTGGACAGCATCTGGAAGACGAGCATGTTTGAATCCAGCTCAACCCCCGTGTCCCGTTTCAAGGGGGAGACGTTTTAGAGCCTATTGTGCGTCCATTTCGAGGGGCAGTGGGGGATGAATTTGTTTACATGGACGATAATGCTCCTCCCCGTCGCACTTTAGCGGTTCGCGAATTTTGTGAGGAAGAGGGTATACGAAAACTGTGGTGGCCACGGATGTCTTGCCAAAAGGAATGATCCCCCCACACTTTAAATGAATTGAAAATTACTGCGCGCGAAACATGGGAAGCCATTCTTCAACATCTTCTGGACAACTTAATTCAGAGCTTGCCACGTCGCCGTCTCACAGCTTGCATTGAGGCTCGAGGAGGCAATACAGACTATTAGTTGTGAGAAATAATTAAAATTGTTTTCAATATTTTCTGTTTAAAATGAAATTTGTTTTTGTTGATTTTCACTCATTATGAAATAAAATTAAAAGCCTAGTTGCACTTAGATTTTTAATTTTATATTAGTTAGTCGTATAGTAAGCCAATATGTCCAAAAATATAAAAAGAATCATATTAGGTCTAAAATAAAAATATCGTTAAGTGCAATAATTTTGGCCATGTGTGTATAATTAGTTTCAATTTTGATCTTATTAACTACAAAGTGAAACCACTGTAATGAGTCATACAGGTGTTTTCTGTGTATTTCAACAAGTCTAGAATGTCCAAAGTATATCTGTTTCTCTTTATCATACAGATTATCGACGAGTGCAAGTTGTTGAAAATTTCGAGGGTATTTTAAGTTACGGATTCCCCGTAGTGGTAGGCTACTATACAATAAAAAGTCAAACGAGTTGAAAAGCTCGAAGTGCGTGATTCCACGTTACTTGTAGCCGGATTTACATTGCTAACTTTTGATTTTTTTTAAAGTGATTAATTTTTAAAAAGCTTTTTATTTAGGCTGTAAGTTTTATTTACAAATACAATAAAAATTGATTGTTTACTTTTTTAACGTTTTAATATTTACATTAATCCGGGTTAATTAAAATATTTAATTAGTGAATATTCGTCGACGATGTAAACCTAGTCAATTGTAGAACCACATTTTTATTACATAATGAGTATTTAAAAGTCGATAGGGGGCAAGTAGATTTGAATTTGGCGATGAGAGAAATAAACGTATGACCGAATTTTAACCGGATTGTTGTTTAGGTATCAATGCTAAAACTCATTTTCTGATGAAATTTGTGCTCTATTTAACACAGAGGTGAGTATATACAGGGGCGCATATACGGGAGGGGTAATGGTAATTGTTTGGTTTGGTTTTTTTCTTACTGGGAGTACTGGGAGACTTTCTCCCAGTAAGAAATTTATAAATAAAATAGAATGTGGTATAAGATCAGTTATCAAACCAATCAAAATAGAATATCCAAACCAATCCAGGGATATTTTTTTCAGTCACAGTACCTTTTAGCGTAAATATATAGGTAATTTAAATTTAGTACTTTATTTAAATATTGCCACAGGTAGGTAGGTACGTATCTACGTATGATCTGTTTAATTAAATAATGTATTACGTATAGGTATTATACAGGGTGAGCCTAAGCCCGCGGTTACATTGGACGCGGGTCCGTGCGTTTTTTGATACGTGCGAGCTCTGACGGAATTTAGTTGCACGACTATTTTATTTTAGTGGTTACATTAGATGCGCGTTCATGGTGTCCTGTGTGTCGAGTGTGTCAAAACAAGCGCCACTACTTTGATGCCGTGTGGGGATATAATGTTAAAATAACTACTCATGAAGAGACGAAAATGTTGGGTAAATGATTTATATGCAATAAGCGGAGAAGAAAATGAATATGTAAAACTTTTAGTGAATTAAAGACAGTAACCGGTCAAATTTTTTGAATATTTTAGAATGTCTTCATCAACATTAATATATCCCAAATAAAATTAAACCTGGTATTCAAAAATATTCAATGTTTTCGGGAATGTATTGGGATCAGAGAAAAAAAATCGAACGCTCGGACGTGCACGTATTAAAAAAACAAACTAGTTTGTTTTTCAACCGACCAACGAAAATTAACGTACGTGCACGTACGCGCAAACTCCGATGCAATGTAACCGCCTGCGTAGATACCATTTGTTTGTTTTTTGCTGCGTGCACGCCCTTGCACATACGACCAAAACCAAAAATACGTACGGACACGCATCCAGTGTAACCACGGGCTTAAATAAGTGCAAATATTTTCAGGGCTGGTAGAACTCGATAAAAGAAACATATTTTCTCTTTACCATTTTTCAGATAAGTCCAAAATAACCGAGTTATTTAAGTTTGAAAATTAAAAAAAAATATTTTGAGACACCGGATTTTTTTTTCTGTAATTGCAATTTTAGTGCCGTAACCATAGAGTAAAGCCGTAACTATGGTAATATTAGAGATTATAAGAAATTATACCCATAGATAAAAGAAAATAATCTACTATTAAGATTATTCAAAGATTAAGATAGATATGAAACTTATTAGTAAAATTTTGGGTCAAAGCGCCCCTCCGTGTTTTTAGTGGAGACCACAGAACAGGTAGAGACTACGTTTAGCCTTCACCTTTTCTGCTGTAAATGTTTTTTTATGTTTATATTTGAATTCAAAGGATTTATTTTTAAAGTTACACTGATATATTAGTATATCAGAGTAACTTTAATAAAACATAAGAATATATATATTTTACAATTTATTTTTTTAGTTATTTTACAGAGTTTCATGTAAATGATCGTAAGTCGACTGGCTGTCTAATGAATAGACGAGATTTATAGATTTTAAAGCGAACGAAAAAAATCAAACAACGAATACATACCATATATTTTTCTTTTATCTAAGATACATATCTTATCGTCTTTTGGAAACACGTACAGTTTTGCAGTTTTGTTAGTTTCTTTGCAAGATGCAACATAACAAGAAAACACCATTTTTACAGTTAATAAATAATAAAACTATTTCTGACTATGATATTTAAAATTTAGATATATAGAAAATTAAAAAACAAACGAGTATTTGCAAACGCAGGCCCAAATTCAATAAAAATCAAAATTTTTCCTGCGAAAATCAGGCTTTTTTTCACTGAAAAGGTATTTTTTGATTTATCAGCAGTCATTGCAAGTTGACAATATACAGGGTGTTTTCGAATTAGTCTAAAAAGTTATGGTGTGATTCCTCATGTGTTCTTAAAACAATTTTTATATAACCGTTAGGTCTAAAGTACTTCCTTTCTGTTCTACAGGGTATTAAAAATTAAAAAAAAATCGATTTTTTTGCTTAACATAAATGGTACACCACTGCTTTTTTTAAGAAAATATATTTTTTCTTGACTGGCCATCCTTTTTCAACAAAATTGATCTTTTGAGTTTTTCTTGTTCATCAAACGGTTGTCGAGAAAAAAAAATAAATATACTTATTAAGAGCCCGCCTTAATTCGTTTTCTAACGATTTTATATTTTTTAGATTAATTAGGAAAGACCCTGTATATGCATATCACAGGCAACCAAATAAACTACTCTAAAAATTATTTTTCCTACCATTAGCGACATACCGTGTTTTTAGTGTGTACTAAATTACTTTATCAAAATTTCACCATATAAGTTTCCAGGCAATGATTATACCCTAGGAAAATATGCGGTAAACAGTCAGTTCTAAAAAGTTTTCGAAAAATATACAGGGAAATTTAAAAGAAAATGCACGATTTTCAACATTTTTGGGATCGAAATATACAACTCCTGAAAATATTTGCACTTATTTAAGACTCACCCTGTATACAGGGTGGTTCCAACTGTATTCCGGAAACCTCGGCAGCATATTCTGCAGATAAAAATAAGTAAAAAAGTTCTTATAAATGTATGTTCCAAAATTCTTAGTTTCGGAGATACTGGCGGGTGTTAAAGTTTCATTTTTATTTTGATTTTTTCCAAATTTCTGAAGTAACGTCAATATGAAAATTGGTGTTTGGGAGTTTTTTAACATGAGAAATTTGATTTTGATGTCAATATGACTCCTACTTGTAGAGGGCACCACCTACATATTTTTTATAACATTTTTTAATTTGTTTGAATAGTAATAACTTTTTATCTGTACCTGTATTAAACTACTGAGTAAAAAAATATATATGTACGACGTTTTTTTTTACGTAAAAAAGTCTTCTCTTTGTGAAAATCGCTACGAGTTATGGTTGTCGAGATATTTGGAATCGAAATTATCAATACTTGTTGTCACTGACATAAATTAAACATGTTGACTAAATAGTGTAATTAGACTGAAATCATAAATTTCAAATGTTTTGGTGCCAAAAGTTCAACCAAAACTGTTTTATCATCATTTTTTCGAAGAAAAAATTATGATTAATTTAAAAAAATAAAAAGTTCCCAAATTTTCATTTTAGTCAAATAACTACCTCTATACCCAACACGTTTATTTTTGTCAATAATGACAATCTAAATATCTTGAGAACGGTTGCTCGTAACGATTTTTACCAAGAGACATTTTTTACGCAAAAAACACGGAAAAGTATATTTTTCCACTCAGTAGTTTTACACAGGTACGGACAAAAAGTTATTACTCTTCAAAACAGTTAAACTACATGTAGGTGGCTCCCCCTACAAATAGGAGTCATATTGACATCAAAATCAAATTTCTCATGTCAAAAAACTCCCAGACACCAAATTTCATCCAAATATTGACATTACTTCAGAAATTATTTGGAAAAAATCGAAATAAAAATGAAACTTCTACAACCTGTATCTCCGAAACTAAGCATTTTATTTAATTATACTACATTTAATTATATATTAATACCGCAATAATTTTGTATAACATAATCTCCTAACTATCGCTACTCGGATTAGGTAACAAACTGTAGCTTCCGTGTACTTGTGAAATATTAAAAATGATACATATATTAAGATTGTCAAGTAAGAGATTATATTATGACTGTAGCAGTTCTCTGTTATTCCAATTCAAAAATAAATTGTTTTTCTGTGAATATATCTAGGTGTTATCTGTTTAAATCGTTCCTTCTCTCGCTGGACAGATTTCACCAATATTCATGTAACGTACAGTACGATTCTTGAAAGCTGACGATTGCATTAGACTGAATATTCTAAGAAATAAACGTATGAGGGTAATAAATTCATGTAAGAAGTTTATGTTAAATATTTTTATGTTATGATAAAATAGGCACCTATTAACTTAAGTCAACACTATCTGAGCAGACAAGAAAAATTTGTTTATCTTTATACAGAGTGGCGCACCTCATTCGCCTCGGTAGATTATAGGAAAACGGAAAGATATAGAAACAAAATATGTTATGAGTATATGTGGGGAGGCAATGTGCATAATTTAAAATTATTTTCAAATGTACAGGGTGTGTCAGAACTAAGATCAATACCAAAGTTATATTTTTTCTTATAGAACACCCGGTATTTTATGTCATTTTTGGCCATAAAATAAGGCATTTATTAGAAGGGTTTAATATGTTTAAAAGCTTTGGTTTTTGAAACATTTAAAGATATTTTATATGCATGCTATAATAAAAAAAATTGTCAACACCTTGTACATTACTCTTCAGAATTAATTCTTGTGCTGACTTTCAAGCCAGAGAAATAAGCTTTACTAAAAAAATTGATTGCTTCCTTAAATGTATACAGGCGTATCAAAAATTGCTTGTCTGCTTTAAATATTTATTTTACTTAAAAACTTCATTATTTAAAATGCAATACTATGTATTTTTTTAAATAAGTCGAAGCAGATTTAAATGCTCTTTCAAACTATATTATGGTTTCCTATACCTATCTGGCACAGATTTTGAATAAAAAACGATTTTTCAATAAAATTGTAATCAAGATGGCTGGTGTAGCCATGGCAATTTTCTAGTGACACTTAGTAGCTATTTTCAAAATCGACCTTAGTTTATGGACTTTATTTAAATATAATATATGTAATTTAACCTGTTATAAGGTTATTTTTATTTAATTTACCTACAGTAAGCTTAATAAGTAAGTATTTAATATTTTATCAAGAAAAATAAAGCAGTATCTGCTGGCGGGATATGGATAGGATGGATGTGTTACTAGTGATTTTATTTTGTGAGGACAATTATTGCTTATTGGCCTGAAGCTTTTATGCTCAAAGATATCTAAATAGGAATTTTCTTGGCAAGCGTTCCTTTGAAGAACTACTTTTCCTATTTCGCAGAGCTGATGTGTGGTATATGAAAAATCTATTAGGTAGAAACCTGTCGTTGGAATTAAAGAAAATGAATTTGCCTTAATTGGTTCTTTTATAGAAAATCCAATATATCTAGAAGTCATTTTAATGTAAATCAAAGAACTACTTCTTTATTTTACTTGATAAAATAATGAATACTTATTTATTAAACCATTGTAGGTAAATTAAATAAAAATAAACCGTTATAAATTTAAATAAAGTCCATAGACTAATGCCCATTTTAAAATAGCTACTAACTGTCACTAGCAAATTACCATGACACCAGCCATCTTGATTGCCATTTTATTGAAAAATCCCTTTTTATTCAAAATCTGAGCCAAATATAGGTATAGGAAACCCTAATATAGTTTGAAAGAGCAATATAATGTGCTTCGACTTATTTAAAAAAATACATAGTGTTTTTTTTGCCTATCAAGCATTAAGAAATAGACTATAACAAATTTAAATAGCTGTGTATTTACATTCCTAATAGAAATATTCTGTCGCAATCATCATCTTTTGGCGAATATTATTCCTAAGACTATACAGGTTGTTAATTTGTTTATTACTCGCGGCAAGAGCTTTATGGTTGAAACATGGCAACCTCGGCCCGCTTGTCGAGAGCCGACGCGACGGGACGAGTCGGCAGCTTAGGCTGAGATTATAGTGGAGCGGCGGTGAAAGGGTAGCGACGAGGAAAGAGGATAGCGGCGCGGTAAAAGGCGAGGATAGCGTCGCAAAACTTATAGTAAAAGCGGAGAGGATAGAGCAAAAATTGTGCGACATATTTTTCAGTAGCAATTCGACATTGGCCCGATTAAGTAATTGAAAGCGAAAGCTCTTACTTACCGAAAATACGGCTGCTAAATTTTGTATCTTGCATAATTATTCCCAGCAAAGAAGAATTAGAAGATGGTCTATTTATCCCGCTAATAGAGATCGAAGAGAAAACGGAGAGTTTAGTCGTCTTTATTTTAAATTGAGACTATATGAGGAAAAGTTCAGACAGTACTTTAGAATATCCATTGAAAGCTTTGATCGCATTTTAGAAATTTATTTCCTCGGTCTTTCTATACCTCAGGTGGCGACGAACTTATACGAATGTTGACGATCCCTCCTCGACGCTATTAAAAACAAACATTTTTGTTTCTCTTAGCACCGCTATGTGCACCGCCTTCCTCTACTCTCGCCTCGCCGCTTTCACTATACGCACCTGCATATGAATACATAGGTTTGATTAAAAGAGAACGAATCGCGCTGCTCACCTCTCCGCTATCCTCTATCCTCGCCGCTCCACTATAGTAGCAGACTTAGCTTAGTACTTATTTGGAATGTAAGCAGTGTTGCCATTCTGTTCCCCAATAAGTAACTGTCCAGTTAGCAATCTGTATAGTATTTCACAGGGAATAACAAAGCTCTATACAGAGTATGACATAGCAAGAAAAACTTTGACTTAAAAATAGTTCAGTAAATAAAACCTCAGAAAATAAAAATACATCATGTTTTTCAACTTTTTTTTTAATTTTTATTAACTATAATAATTAAAAAATACAGCGCTTGAACATAACAAAAAAAAAACACAATTTGGTACAATTAAAAACAGAAAAAAAAACAACCTTAGCAGTCTAATTTTTTATTTATGTACTCAAGTATATTGTTGATATCTATGTATATATATTCTTCTTTTTCTTAACAGATTTAATACAAGGATGAATACAAGTCGACTGCTTAAAAATAGTTAGTTTATTCAATATCTTCTTGTATTCAGTGCTTGTCAGATTTCAGTAATATTAATATCATTTTATACAGAGTATCTTTATTTCGCATTATTTTAAATAGTCAATATCATTTCTTTTTTTTATAGATTCTATCATTAAAGTTTGACTAGAATAAACCATCAAGTACTTTAAAAAAAATACTTAGTACTCTTTCGACTAGAAACAATGAATACACTCCTCAAAATTCAACAAAGCATTCTTACATATATTGAAAACTTGGCAACATTGCACAATACGCGCCCTGCACGTTGAATTAATAAATAATAATGATATTAAAAAAAGAAATAAAATCATAACATACACACACATTCGATGTAGGTCACGCAAGCGTATTTTCCTTTTGATTTAATATATTCTAATCTAACTATTGCATTGTTGCCAAAGTTCGAGTACCTACGATCACAACAAAAATGTAAAGTTAATCCGAACAGATTAATTTACCATAAATTAAAAAAATATATTTGTCATTTGCACTTTCCTATAACGCAAAGTTACAATGGTTTTGTGTTGGGTGTTTTATTATATTAATATGGTAAACAATAAATAAATATAAGACAATTTTTGAAAAATATCAATGTATGCATCTACATGTACCCAATTTCCATGCAAATCATTTTTTTAGAATTTCAATAGTATTACAATAAAAAATAACAAATTAATAAAAAACACTGTACTAAAATCAATTTATATAAGAAATATGTGGGTTTGATATTTTCTTTTATTTAGGGTCTATTTTGTAAATTACTATATTTGTAATTTATATAATATAGGAGTGCATCTTACCCCTGAATATTTCATAAACCCGTTTTTGACATTTATTTTTCAATATGAGAAAGCTATAAAAAGCCTAAATATTTTAAGATACATACATCGCCCGAATTTCAATATATTTAAGCATTATACAAATGTCATTCTGCCATATTGCGAAAACTATGAATAAGGGTCAAAATATATGTATTTAATATACATAGTTACTTTGTTGTTCTATGTCAGTAATCGCACGCTGTTTGTTTCTGTGTGTTCATTAATATCATTACTGTTCATTTATGTAATTACTAATTTTGTTTAACTAGACAGCCCATTTTGTTGTTGAAGTTACACTGTTAAAATGACTTCTACTTTTTGTCTGATCTAATAAATCTAATAAAAATAGTTTTCAAATGGTATTACTGATGCCAGATTAATTATCTATATGACATTAAACATAGTCGAAATCAGAAGTTACTTTACAAACTCATATAGTTTTCGATATCCAAACTAATATAACCTCTAATTAATTTAATTAAGTCTAAATCACTTATTTAAAGCCTATCAAATTTGAGACCAGATGTGAATATTTACTAAGATGCAACTTGTTACAATATTGCAAAGAACCAGCGTCAAGTAATGTCAATTTATTATGCAAAAAATCTGTCTAAAGTGCGTTGGGTTTGGAGTCGTCGTTTGTATAGATTTTCTAGAAGTTTTAAGTAATAAAGGTCTATTTGTATTCAATACAATTCTTATATATTAATTTCACTTGGTTTACTTTTCAACTCCCAACACAACAAAAGCCAATTAAAAAAAATAAAAATAGACCTATCTGCCCTAACTTACAACTCCTGTTTCTAATCGGAACTGAAAGGTGTGTCTATTAAATAAGTCACTCCTTTCGGCCAATCACAATTATCGAGATTAAAGACTATTTTCCTCCATCTAGTCACACTACGTCACCGGTCTGTATTTTCGAATTCTAGCTTGCGGGTCTGACGGTGAGTCGCCGGCGATAGGTGGCGGTGGAGGTGGTGGCCCTTCCGATGATTCGGGGCTGCTTTCCGGGGCGTCGATTAGGCAGTTAGATATGCCTCTGGCTCTTACACCTAAAACGATACCAGAGCCATTGGATCAGCATTCTTAGTACTAGAAAGGGGAGCAGCATGCGTGGTAGAGCCAAAGGGAGAAGGTATTGGTGGAAATCTGAAATAAAAGGGTGCGGTCAGGATGCAAAGGACGGGAACAGCGATATAATGAAATTAAATGGCGTTGTTTAGGATGGTAATATAAATTTTAATGGTACGTGTACACTTTTTAAAAAATAAGAACCAAACTAAAAATATAACCTTATATATACAGGGTGGCGCACCTCATTCGCCTCGGTTGATTATACGAAAACGAAAAGATGTAGAAACGAAATGTTTTATGAGGCAATGTGCACAATTTAAAATTATTTTGAAATGTACAGGGTGTTTCAGAACTAAGATCCATACCAAAGTTGTATTCTTTCTTACGGAACACCCTGTATTTTATTTCATTTTTGGATTCTTGGGTCCAAAAAAAGGTATTTATTATAAGGGTTAAATATGTTTAAAATCTTTGGTTTTTGAGATATTTAAAGATATTTGAAAATGCATGCTACAATAGAATAGATTATTAACACCCTGTACATTGCTTTTCAGAATTAATTCTTGTGCTGACTTGTAAGCCAGAGAAATAAACTTTACTAAAAAATTTAATTGCTTTGTTTAATGTATACAGGGGTATCAAAAATTGCTGGTCTATTTTAAATATTTATTTTACATAAAAACTTCGTTATTTCAAATACAACACCCTGTATTTTTTTAAATAAATCGAAGCAAATTCAAATGCTCTTTCAAACTGTATTAGGGTTTCCTATACCTATCTAGCTCAGATTTTGAATAAAGAGCCATTTTTCAATAAAATGGGAACCAAGATGGCTGATGTCAAGTTTCTAGTGACAGTTAGTAGCTATTTTCAAAATCGAAATTAGTTTATGGACTTTATTTAAATGTATAGCAGTTTACTTTTACTTAATTTGCCTACAGTAGTTTAATAAATAATATTTATTAAATATTATTTTTCTTTCAATAAAAACGAAGAAGTAGTTCTCTCATTTATTTTATGATCACTAGTAGATCTATGGATTTTCTATAAAAGAGCCAATTACGGCAAATTCATTTTCTTTATTTCCAACGACAGGTTTCTGCCTAATAGGTTTTTTATAAACCACACTACCATGCTCTGCGAAATAGAAAAGTATTTTTTCAAGGAACGCTTATCAGGAAGATTCCTATTTGGATATCTTTGAGCATAGGCTCTTGAGGCGAAGAAACAATTTTATAAAAATAAAATCACTAGTAACATATCCATTCGTTCCGCCAGCAGATACTGCTTTATTTTTCTTGATAAAATAATGAATAATGAAGTTTACTAAGTATTGAACTATTGTAGCTAAATTTAAGTAAACTGTTATAAATCTAAATAATAATGTCCACATACTAATGTCGATTTTGAAAAGAGTTACTAGCTTTAACCAGAAAATTGCCATAGCTACACCAGCCATCTTGATTGCCCTTTTATTGAAAAATCGCTTTTTACTCAGAATCTGAGCTAGATAGGTATAGGAAACCCTAATATAGTTTGATAGAGCAGTTGAATCTGCTTCGATTTATTTGAAAAAATACAGGGTGTTGTATTTGAAATAACAAAGTTTTTATGCAAAATAAATATTTAAAATAGACCACCCTGTATACATTAAACGAAGGAATTAAATTTTTCAGTAAAGTTTATTTCTTTGGCTTACAAGTCAGCACAAGAATTAATTCTGAGAAAAGCAATGTACAGGGTGTTAATAGTCTATTCTAATGTAGCATGCATTTTTAAATATTCTTAAATATCTCAAAAATCAAAGATTTTAAACATATTTCGCAACCCTTATAATAAATACCTTTTTTTGGGCGCAAGAATCCAAAAATGAAATAAAATACCGGGTGTTCCATAAGAAAAAATATAACTTTGGAATGGATCTTAGTTCTGAAACACCATGTACATTTCAAAATAATTTTAAATTGTGCACATTGCCTCATAAAACATTTCGTTTCTACATCTTTTCGTTTTCGTATAATCAACCGAGGCGAATGAGGTGCGCCACCCTGTATATATATAAGATTGAAAGAATTGGGAAGATACGCAACCTAATGGGCAAATTCGTGACAACGCTGATTTGATTTCCCCTTACGTTTCAAATGCTGTTCATAGTTCATAGCCTCTACTCCTTCTACGGCCAAAGCATAAAACACTCATTTTTTCTAATTCGGCTAGCGAAGACATATCGGAGACCATGTAGAACTGAAAGCGACAGTGTTGCCATATTAAAATGTGTAATATCTGTAATACGTTTGACAAAAATATCTTTGGATGAAAAATCCGCATTTATGTATTGAAAATCTATTCGTGTTAAATATAGAATATATCACGTTCTTTATTTAATCCATATATTATATTAAATTGTTTAATGATCTACGGAATAATCCGTAGTTCTGGCAACACTGTCTCCGGCAACCACCCACTCTGTGGACTGAAAGCAGAACTACGGTACAGTATCTTTAGCTGCTGCGCTGTAAACGACTATCATAATAAATCAGCGCGCAGCGGCACAGAGCTAAACTAAATCTCGGACATGTAACGATAACGCCAGTTACATTTAGGAAATGTTTTGTGTCACGAAATCGCCCATAAGGTTGGGCATCTTCTTATTCCATCAATCAACGGTATAACAGATACAGGTGTTCTTTTAGTGGCCATTTAGACCACAAATTAGGCAAACGTGAAGCCTCGTCTACAAATAACGTTTTACCTGTCAGTCTCACCTGTTCAGTCAAAGTGTATCAAACCATGTGTGTAAAGAAAAAATAGTACGTTTTAATTAAACTAAATTATGCTTAAATCAGTGTTACGTACTGATTTAAGAATGCAGATTTACGAAAAATAACATCGATATATTACAACATCCTTAATAAGAGACTTTTAAAAATCTAATATTTTTATAAAATTGTTTACAGATATTTAATAATTATTACCAAGCGATAGAATTTACACAATTAGGCCGAACGCCCACAGTGCGACTATTTTGAGACAAAAGTTGCAAACTAGTTTACACTACAACCAGTTTCTAACTAAAATGAAACTGCTGCTTTTCAACACTGTCTCTACTAGTAAGTGCACGTTAACGTGTACTAAAAATAAAACTTCGGTACACGCGAAACGAGTATTTCGCGTGCAATCCAAACAAAAAAATAACCCCAGAGATTAACCGCACGGTGGGTGCCGGTCCTTAGCTTTTGCGTATTTCCAAATGAAATTTAAACTATAAATACAATTTTGTAGTAAAATTCCATGGATTTTTCTCTGACTAAATACAATACAAATAAAAAGCCGCAGGTAAAACGTTGTATGCAGAGGGAGCTAAGACGGACGACCGTCTTGAGAACTGCCGTCAGCTTTGTAGACGGTCTCCCGTTTTACCTGACGCAAAATTGACAGGTAAAAGGATATCTGTACGAGGCTTTCGGCAAATTTGATGTTGATTGACTTAAAGTTAAGTGTCAATTCACTTAACTTAAATTAGACCGTTCAGGCAGACAGTGTCGCGTTTGGCGTTGCGCTAGCGTCCGCTGAGCGTCGGGGTTCGAGTTCAATGGGGCGGACGCGACGCTCGACGCTCTCAGCCTGAATGTACCTTTATTGTCAAAAATTATTTGTGATACTAATATAGCATTCCATATTTTCGTCAGCTACATTATTAGTGATAAGACATATAGACTTGATGTGATAAGACATATTTTTTGACTTAAAAAAAGCTTCGGAAAAACACTTTTTTTCTCAAAAAATGTGGGTGTTTTGCAAGAGACAAAAATGTAGTAAATACTAGAAGGACCATTTTACTAAAAAAAAAATCAGTCATCGAAGAAGTTGGAAAATATTTCTACTAAAAGTTATGTAGGGGTGGAGATGGTGGTTAAAGGTATGTTAAAACGCTTAGCAAAACATAGGGACCCCTAGTTCTATATACTCTACACCCTGTATATTGTTACAATTTGTTAACAATAATCGAGAGATTAATGTTAACTACACTAACTATGGTTGCTCGTGGATTTTATATTAGCACTGTTATACTGCTGCATACCTAATAATAATCGATCTTTTTTAAATATTTAAATATCCCGTATTTTTAAAACAAACTAGTTTTATATTTTAGACCTCATGATCTTTAATATTTATTTCAGGCTTGTTGAAATTGACATTAAAAAAACAGTATTAAGTATCTATTTTAATAATAATTGCAATATCGATTACAATATTTATATCTTAATATCATTTAGGTATAGACATTTCCTAATCACTTAGTGAAAAAATAAGATTTCTTTCAAAAGATTTCTCGCAAATCATACTTAATCTTATCGTAATATTATTCTTTGAACTTGTGGTGTGTTCTTTTAATTTACAATCTAATTTAGGCACTAAACTTATAAGATTTATTTTTTTAGCTCTATATCAACAGTACTTAATTAGCTGTTAAACTCGATGTAAAATATAAAGTATTGATGAAGATGATTGGCAAATAATGTTCATATTCTTATCAATATTTCTTAATTTTTATACAATATCTATATATTTTATTATATTATACTACTGATATTATTAAGATACCGCATGATCGAAAAAAAGTATCATAGTGGCTTTCGAAATGATAAATGATAGTAATTTTTGTCGGGTCGAACATTAACCGTAAATAATTAATAAATCAAAATGTATAAAGGAGAACAGGAGGGAAAACAAAAGGTTTTTGTGAAAATCTTCCCTTTCTTAAATAATATTTATGTCCTTTAATTCGAATATTTAAGGGTCTAGATGTTTCAAACATGTAAAATTTATCGCATTCACATGGTATTTTGTATATTACATTTTTAGCCGACCATACCAATAGGTACCAATGGTAGGCTATTAAGATCGACAAAAAAAAAGTTTTTTTAATTTAACTCTAAATGAGTTATTTGGGTCATAAATGACCTAAATACAAAATATTTTCATGGTGTCTGTCTGTCTGTAACACGATAACTCAAAAACCGCTAAACCGATTTTAACCAAATTTGGCAGAAAAATACTGTAGCACCCGAGAATCTGGCCATTAGTTTTTGAAGGGGGTGGGGGGTTGGTAAGGGGGTATGGGAGGGGGTTAAAAATTTTTAAAATCGTAACTCCAAAATTACAGTAGCTAGCGAAACGCGGTTTTCAATTTAAGATTAGGAATAATATTTGTAACAAAATTTGTAATAATATCAAAATCAGCCAAAGTCGCATTTTTGAGATAAAAAAAAATTGGAAAAGTTCCTTTACTTTGAAACTAAAAGAACTGCCTACCAACTTTTTATTAACATATTTTAGTATGGTCGACTATACGTGCCTCCCGGCGCCAATTTTTTGTTTGTTGTTCTGTATTCATTGGTTTAATGTGTGATAAAATAATAAGAGATATTAACATTTGAATGTCAAGTATTCCAGCTCACACTTTTTTTTTTCAGACAACTGATAAAAATTAGTGATGTAAACTTTAGTTACTTATATGGACTCGTAACTACTAGTTACTTTTGGTGATAGGACTCGTTACTTTAGTTACTTTAGTACTTATGCCCACTTGCACCGTTTGTAAAAACTTTGTTTAAAGGCTAAACAGTGATTACTATAATAAAATACTATATAGTTAATCAGTGTTTAGCCTTTAAACAAAGTTTAAACAAACGGTGCAAGTGGGCATTAGTATCGTTACTTTATAATCGTTGTTTGTGTACAGGTTGGAAGATTTGGGCTTGACTTGGAACTTCGTTACTTATTGTGCGCGGCGATCTTCGTTGCGTGCTCGGTTTAACCTATAAAGGGTTTCTACTTTCTTCTAGTGTAAGAGCTTAATAGGATAATTTCAATACTCGGTATTCAAGTACTGAATAATATGTTTTTAATAATATGTATAATATTTTTATAATGATATGTTATCACTAAGTATTAATAAAATTAAAAATAAAAGAAAACAGATCTAACAAAGAAAATATGTAATTAATAAATTATTTCTCCCTCTCTCTCTCTTTGTATCATTTTACATTAATAATTATGCAAACATTAAAGAGTAAAAATATAAAAAATGTATATATTTTTGTTAAAATGTAAAAATATTTAAAAAATGTCTATTCCTCTGTGGCGGATTCATCTCTTCAAAAAAGTCCTTTGGATTAATGCAGCAGTGTTTACTAAAAATTACTATTTTTATTTTGTAGATTTTCTTACAGTGTAAATGTCTAAATATCTATTCTTTTTTGAAGAGAAAAAATATTTGCTCTGCTTTTTTAGATGTTAATATTTTTAGTGAATAACGTGAATCTATTTTTAATTAATATCTAGGACATATTAATCTAAATAAACAATTCCATTCTTCGTCCATCGAACAACTATAAGGCAAAAAATAAAACACATTCTACCCCTAAATAATATTTTATATTACTTATTTCAATTAAAATTGAAAAAACGTGCGGAATTACCTAAATAAAAAGCAACAACAAAGGGCAAAGGGACAGACCGCCGCATCGCCGGGTGGGCATGAGCCAATCCCCATAATAATTGTAATACAAATATCACACATTTGCCATCCAAAACACCGGCCGGCGTCAAGTCAACACTTTAAACATAAACATATTGATAACAACTATACCTACGTCGAAGTAACGAATATTTCAGTATCGAGTTTCGAGTCCTCACTTCGTGCATTTCCAAGGATTACGACCAGCGCAAAAGTAACGAATTAGCTTAGTAACGAGTAACGAGCCCTAAATTCAAATGGTAAGCGTTACTTCGAGTCCTCGTTAAGTAACTGTTACTTTGTAACGATTACTTAGAATTTTTACATCACTAATAAAAATGGTCTAGAACAACAAGTGCATACGTAGTTGAAGAATATAGTGCTTACATTTTCAATTTGGAAAATTTAAGATAACATATTTTCAATTGTGTTTCTAATATTCACCCTAGCGGTCAACTTACAAACTTCTATTGGACCACCCTTTATATAGATATTATATATTTATAGTAGATTTTTTTGCTATTATGTTCCTCCGGTTAGCTCTGAAAATACAAACAGAGATAAGTATATCTTAAATGTGATACTTATAAGTATCACAAAACATAATTAGTTGAAAACTTATCGATTTCAAGTGAATCTCGTGTTTTTCACTATTTGTTTGTTTTTATCCGGTAGTGATAAAAATCTCAGACCTTTATTTTTAAGCTGTATGTCTACTTGAAATAATATGAGGATTAAAAGACACTGAGGGATTATATGATTGCAATAATTAAATACAGATAAAAATAGAGTTTATATTATTTTTCCTATGTTTATATTTATTTTATTTATTACAACCTTTAAGGTTCTGTTGATGTAGACATGAGTGCAGATGGGCTGATAAGGTTACTAAGAATATCTCTGTACAATTAACACAAATCTTAGTATAAAAACATTTTCTTTTCGCAAAACTATATGTAAACTTTTTACAACACATAATTTTCACAAATATGCCGGATTAAAAAATATCAATATGAAATAAAAAAATTTTGGGTAGAAAAAATAGCACCCGGTATACCTATACCGGGTGCGTCTGAAAAGTGGCTCACTCCTATAACTTTTTTATTTTTTCCAATAAAAAACGAGATTTGGTATATTAGTATATGACATAAATTAGGATTGATCAATGTATTCAATTATTTTCGGTCACTTCTTGTTTCAGCGGAAATTACTACCAACTTATTAACCAAGAATTAACCAAACTTTTGATTTTTAAATGGCAACCTAGATATTTTTTTACTTTATTCCATAGAAAATGACACTCTGAATAGAACGACATATCTTATGTCAACCTTTGACATTTTCGCCTTAAAGCAAAGTTGTATTTTATATTTCAATCTAGAGTGCCATGGTTGTATTAAAAACACTAATTTTTAATAAAGGAGCCTTCGAAAAATAGATTTGATCGTCTAATGTTTTTAGTGTCTTGTCCTGGTCAGTTAAAAGATGCCCAAATCGTATTTTTAATCATATCTCAATTTTTTCAAATGGAACGAGGGTGGCTCGTTAGCATATTTGGAAAAAGCATTTTTTTACGAATATTTTGATACCACACTTGGTATTTCGCATGTTGCAATTGCAAATAAACCACATTCGAAAATGTCAAAAGTTGACATATGATATGCCATTCTATTCGGAGTGTCATTTTCTATCGAATAAAGTAAAACATATCAATGATGTCATTTAAAAATCAAAAGTGGTGGTCATTTCCGGTGAAACAGAAAGTGGCCGAAAATAATTGAATACGTCAATCAATCCTAATTTTTGTTATATTATACTAACATATGAAATATCGTTTTTTTTATCTAAAAAAAGTTCTAGGGGAGAACCACTTTTGAGAAACGCCCGGTATTATGTTCAGAGTTGTTTCTTTTTTCAAATAATCCTTTTGAAATGGATTTAGAATTTTTTCTAACTGGAATTCTATTTTGAGGTTCCTTGGGAATTCGAGTTAGAAATTGTCTACCAAAATATAATCATACTATTCTCGGATACCGTGTAAATAAAAATGTTTGACGGTACCTGGTGAGTTTATTATTTTATAAATCATACTATTTTATACTTAGCATATTATTTGATAAATTAGGAGTTCTTACCGCTTCCAGAATGCCTTTTAAACCTAAGATTTAGCTGGCTCGGATCCGTTACGTATTTCTCGTTCTGTCTACGTCGTCTCAGACCGGGAGTCAAATCTCCAGACCAAGACATGCATTTGGCCAGTCGCTGACCTCCAGTAACGGACACTGGAATCTTTGATATTCTCCCTCCATCTAATGCCGGACTAATCTGAAACAGAAATTTTAAAATTAATTTACTCTTTTTATTTTAACGGATAATTAAAATCGGATGTTTTCTGCTGTCTATTTTAACAACCCTTTAAAAGCAGAACATTAGAAAAAAATAAAACTTTTAGAGCCCGACCCAAAAGACCTTTAACCGATATACATATACAATAAAAACGAAATTTACCACCTAGAGAAAAAACCTAATACCATAGATAAATGAAACAAGTTTAGTTTGGAAAGTGCCTACAAGGACAATGTAAACACTATTTGGCGTTATTCTTGCAACGGTCGTGACCCAAAGCTTTTGAAAATTTCGGAGCGGTTCGGCTTTTTCCGGAATTATATATAAATAATAGTAAAAATAATAATATAAATAAATACAGTGTGTTGCATACAAGAAACTTTATTTTATATAAGGACACGTATGAAACACCTATGAAACATTGGAAACCGACGTTATGCTACGATTCACGATGGTTTTTGCAATTCACAGTTCACAGCACAGCTTTTTAAGTGTTTAATGCCACTTTTTCACAATAATCACGGGTTTTAGTAAATAAAACTTAAATTAAACTCACAAAATAGCAATAATTACTTTGAAAATGGACGCTTTAAACACTTTTCGGAATTTTTTCAACGAGAGCGGTTTAGATTTTGAAAGATTTTATAACTTTTGAAGATTCTGACTTTGACAAGAGTTATGAAGAGAAAATAATTTCTGTTTTTGTTTGCGGTTGTTCTTAGCAACCGTTATAGCAGCGCCAGATCGCGTACAACGGTCGCAACCCAAAACAATTTCGCGACCTAAAATTTTGACGGGCATTCCAATCTAAATTTATTTCCTTTATCTATGCTTAATATATATTGTAAAGTCTGTCTAACGGGAGGATACATGACAGTGACAGTTGTCTGTCATTTTAACTTAGAGGTAAATTTTATTATCTGTTTTTTAAATTTTATTACTCCCGCTGGACAAACTTTAGCCCCTATAAATAAATGTCAGACAAAATGACATAACTATCTAAGAAGAATGATGACTAATATCTAAACTAGAACACTGAGGTAGAAACATGGTCGAAACAGTCACAATGTTATATTGTTACGGAAACTATTTATTTATTCGTGTCAGAAGCATCATCAAGATTACATTTCATATACATATAATATCACATACAACAACAATAACAACAATAATTACATATAATAATAATAATAACAATAAGTAAAATTGCAAACACAAAAGTTATACATGAAACCACAGTACATTAAAACATAGATATAAAACAAACATATCATGTATAAACATCGGGAAGCGGAAGAACGAGGGAAGAAGAGACGGGAAACTAAACATGTTTTGCCCAGAAGCGGGAGACGTCAATTGCGTTCGACTTTGCTGCCATAAGGTCCTCTATAGTGCACTTGGCGGGGCACAGTGGGCAAGTATACATATGTTGGGTGGTTTGTAGTGCTCCACATTCGCAGAGGTTGGAGTCCACATGGTAGCCCCACTTGGCAAGAGTGTCTCTCGATCTCGCTGTGCCCGTACGCAGTCTGTTAAGAGCTCTCAAGTTTCCCAGTTTTCGTCGCTTCCTGGTGCCAATTGTTCCTTCGGCTCCATCCAATGTTGATTTGAGGTCTTCTCCCAAAGGTCCACATTGGTTCTAGGTTCCTCGTAGTCTTCTGTCGATCGCAGGAAGCTTTGCCTTGATTTCAATCGCTGATGAGCGGGTTGGATGCCGTAGAGTAGGTGGCGTTCAGTTGCTGCTGCTTTGGATCGTTCTTTGAGTGCAGCTGCCTCTCTACGGATGGCAGGAGGGGGGCGATGCCAGCTAGATGGTGGATCTTGTCCAGGGGTGTTGGCTTTAAGCATCCGGTGATGATTCTGCTTGTCTCATTGAGGGCGACATCAACTTGTTTTGCGTGCGCTGATCTATACCAAACCGGGCATGCATACTCGCCGGTAGAGTGACATAGAGCGAGTGCTGACGTTTTTAGAACCTTAGGTTGGGCTCCCCAGTTAGAACTTGTCAGCTTGCGGATTATGTTATTTCTTCCGCTCACTTTAAGTTTTGTATTGAGGCAGTGTCGCTTGAATGTTAATGCCCTATCCAGTGTTACGCCCAGGTATTTCGGGTTAGGGCAGTGCTCCAATGGTACTCCCTTCCATTCGATCTGTAGTTTTCTGCCGGCCTGCTTATTCTTAAGATGGAAGGCACATACCTGCGTTTTTGTTGGATTTGGCTTTAACTGGTTATGTCGGTAGTACAAATCCAATTGTGCTAGGGCCGCACTCAGACGTTGTTCCTCTTCGAATGACCTCTTCGAATGTTTTCCCCTGTGATGTGATTGCCCTATCGTCTGCGTATATATAGCTTTTTGTGCCTTCAGGGAGGGGTTGGTCGTTGGTATAGATATTGAAGAGTAGCGGTGCCAGCACGCTTCCCTGTGGCAGACCATTTCTCTGGTTTCGGCACCTACTTCGTTTTCCCTCCACCAGAAATCTCCGGTTTTGGGGCAGGTTCCTGATGATGTTTGTAAGATTAATATCTTTGGTTGTATGATATATCTTCTGCATCAGGAGTCGGAGATTGATGGTGTCATATGCTGCTGTGAGGTCGATGAAAATGGCACCCGTTATATATCCCCCTTGGAAACCGTCTTCGATGTGCTGAGTTAGATTGAGCACTTGTGCCGTACAACTTTTTTCAGGGCGAAATCCAGCCTGCTGCGGTATGAGAATCGGATCCACAGCAAGTGAAAGGCGGTTATATAATAATCTTTCAAAGATTTTATACGTGTGGCACAGCAGCGATATCGGACGGTAGCTTTTGGGTCATTAGATTCTTTGCCTGGTTTGAGGACCGCTATGATCTTGGCTTTTCTCCAGATACTAGGGAGTTTGCACTGTTGTAGGCAGACATTGAACATGTCCAATAGCCACTGTTTTGCTTTTGGTCCGAAATGCTTGATCTGCTCAGTGAGGATGTCGTCTGGACCAGCGGCCTTCCGAGGTTTGCATTTCTTTATGGCGATGTTCAGCTCTTCCATGATAAAGGGAGTGGACAGATTGGACGTTTCTTCATCCTCTATTCGGTTGATACTGGTACTGGTTGCTTTCTTGGGGGGCATTTGGTTTGGCTTGCCATTTTTTACGAGCTGAGTGGCTATTTGATCTGCTGTTACATTGGCATGAGCTCTTGACTGAGTTGGGTCATTGTTTAAACGCTTTAATAGTCTCCACGCTTTGTTACTGCTTACGCTCATATCAAGCTCCTCCATCAACTTGATCCAACTCTCTCTCTTGGCCTCGGATATAGAGGTGATTAGTTGTTTGCCCGCCTCTATCGTGTCTTCCCCCAGGGGGTTGGCTTCAAAATGGGTTAGATATTTTTGTAGTTGGGCTTTTGTCGCTGTTGTTAGGCCTTTGATATAATGAGTGTTGCACCCTCTAGGGATAGAGAGTCGTGAACATTTTTTAACGATGCCCACAAAGCTATCATAGGAGATCGGGACGGGCGCAAGTGTGTCCGCAGCGTTATCCAATAGTTTCTGAAATTTGGTCCAGTTGGCTTTTTGGAAGTTGTATCTGCGCCTGAAAGGGATGCTATGTGGACGAGACATAGCCATAACCTGACACATAATTGGCCGGTGTTGTATATTTGGGATGGGTGGGCAAACTCCCTTGACGCATTGAAGATTTATCCGATCGCTCACAAACACCAAGTCTGGATTATATCCTCTCCGCCATCTGGCACTATTGAAAGAGGCTGGTAATTTATTATCGTGCAAAAGAGTTAGGTTGCTTGCATCTGCCCACTGAATCACGGCCTCCCCATTCCTGTCGTCGTCAGGGTAACCCCATAGGCTGCTGTGGCTATTGAAGTCTCCCACCACGAAATGTATCTTGTCTGCGTCGAGTGGACAGAATTCGTTGGCCCTACTACGGAAACTAAATGCATTCTTTTATAAGAAAGGGTTTAGCAGATGTAGGTAGAAAATTACTTACATATTTTGAAATAGATATTTTTACATACGAACATTGCTTGATAAATAAAAACTTGCAAAGATGACCAAATTATATTCAGTCCAAAACCAGAAATAAAGCAGTCGGCTATGCTAGTTTAAGAAAAGTTTCAATTGTTTAAATCCTAATTATACCGGGTGCGTCTCGAAAATGGCTCACCCCTATAACTTTTTTTATTTTCTCAGATAAAAAAACGAGATTTGGTATGTTGGTATGACATAAATTAGGATTGATTGACGTATTCAATTGTTTTTGGTCACTTCCCGTTTCACCGGGAATGACTACAACTTTTGATTTTTAAATGATACCCTCGGTATATTTCTACTTTATTCGATAGAAAATAACACTCTGAGTAGAATGACATATCATATGGCAATTTTTCACATTTTCGCTTAAAAACGTATTTTTTAAATTTCAATCCAGACTGTCATGGCTGTGTTAAAAACACTAATTTTTAATCAAGGAGCCTTGGAAAAATAGATTTGACTAATGTTTTTCGTCTCTTGTCCTGGCCGGTTAAAAGATGCCCAAATCGTATTTTTAATCATATCTCAATGTTTTCAAATGGAACAAGGGTGGCTCATTAGCATATTTGGAAAAAAAGCATTTTTTACGTCAAATTGTCATTTGACACATGTCACAATTGTCATTTGTGCATGTTACAATTTTAAATAAACCATATGCCAAAATGTCAAAAGTTGACTTTTGATATGTCATTCTGTTCAGAGTATCACTTTCTATAGAGTAAAATAAAAATATACCAAAGGTTCCATTTAAAAATCAAAAGTTGTAGTTATTTCCGGTGAAACACAAAGTGACCTAAAACAATTGAATACGTCAATTAACGCTAGTTTATGTCATATACTAACATACCAAATCTCGTTTTTTTTATCCGAAAAAAATAAAAAAAGTTATAGGGGTGAGCCATTTTTGCACCCAGTATAGTCAGTGACTGTCTATTATTTTAATACAAAAGT